GTAGTAAACTGCTGCATCTTCAGTCTGGACTCCACTGATGGTCAGAGTGAAGTCAGAGTTTGATCCACTGCCTGTAAAACGATCTGGAATCCCTGATTCTCGAGTGCTAGCATAGTAAATGAGGAGTTTAGGAGTTTCTCCATCTCTCTGTTGGTACCAGGATAAACGGTCAGAGCCATATACATCCTGACTGGTCGTACATTTGATGGAGACGGAGCCTCCCAGAGCAGAGCTCACTGCTCCAGGCTGAGTCACTGTGACCTGGCCTCTGGACTCTGAGGATACAGAGACAAAAACATAAAGCAGCGTCATGGTTTTGTCAGCTTCATTTCAGAAGGACGGATGTTCATAGAGGAGAGGAGTTTGATTCTCTGGACTTTACCTGTGAAGCAGCAGCAGAGGAGAGTCCAGATGAGGACGCAGATCAAAGTCATGTTTTTGATGAGGAGGATTTCTGTGGCTTCTGTTGTCATGAAGGACAGCTGTCAGTCATCCAGTGTTCAACTCTCAGGACTATAAACTCTCCCAGAGCACTGGAGCATGGTGCTGCTGATGCAAAGTGGCTTTCTATGGAAATGCTCTGACTGACTCCAGCAGGGACTTGGATTACTCTGATGATGCTGTTTATCAGTGGATCAATCAGTTTATCAGAGTATTCATCTGAAATGGTTTAAAATCTTTTTTACATGATTTTGGTTTCATGCTACAAGATATATTTTGTTTCAAAATATCTTCTGCCTAAATTGCCAAAGAACAAATATAGAAATTGAATTTAACATTAATATATCTAACTAAAACATCCATTCTGGAAATTTGTGTGACTGTCTTAATTTTACATTTCAGCTGATAAAATATTACAATCAGAGACTATTTTTGGTGAGTTTGTTTGTGTCAAAGTCAGAGAGCCGTGTCTCTCTACAGTGAGAGTTTTTGTACGGCGGCTCAATGAGTTTGTATCACTGTGGGAAACGTTCGGTGGAGGAACCAAACTGGATGTTGGAAGTAAGTCAAACATTTAACAAACTTTTATTAAGTTGTTGTTTTTTTCTTTTATATTCAGCATGCAAAAAAACCTTTTGAAAGTCCATATTAATGTATAATGTTTAATCTAATATTTTGCACTAGGAAACAAAGTTCCCTTCGCCAAAAAAAACTCAACTCATTGCAATGAATATATTACATATTAGCAAAAGGGAAAATGATTTCCATCTTTAATGGTTAAGTTGTACCTTGAGAGGTTGTAGCTTTAGTTCTGCCTGAAAAAGTCTACAGTGAGGGTTTTTTGTAGTGCAGCTCAATGTGTTTTTCTCACTGTGGTTGACTTTTATTGATATTTTAAATTCAGCTTTTGAATGTTTAATGGAGATAAATATATTTAGTTTGTTTCATTGATTGGGTTTTATTTCTCCTCATTTACCAGCAGCTTTACTAAACATTTCTTTACACATTACTCACACTGAAATTCAAACAACTTGAAGTGGAGAACAGATAAATAATAACAATAATAACTAGTTATGATTAAATACAACCCCGCGACCCTGTACGCAGGATAAGCGGTTGATGATGGATGGATGATTGAATACAATTCACTTTCTCCACGTAATGATTGAAATCTGGATGAAGAACATTTGATTATTGTCAATTAGTTTGATATATTTCAGGTCATTCTGTGTGATGATTCTCTCTGTGCTGATTTGCATGAGAGGCTTCTTAAAGGGAAGTGAAACAATGTGTGAGTGAGTGACTGGTGGAGCAGAAAAACCATCTGACAGAAACTCTTAAAGGAGAAAATCAGCACAGTAAAGGTGTCCTCTAAGCTGATTGGTGTCTCCTAGGTGATGTCCGTCCCACCCTGACGGTGCTGCCCCCCTCCAGTGAGGAGCTGCAGCAGGGGAAGGCCACGCTCATGTGCCTGGCCAACAAGGGATTCCCCTCAGACTGGAGTCTGGCCTGGAAGGTGGACGGCAGCAGCAGCAGCAGCAGCAGCTGGGAGGAGAGCAGGAGCCCCGGGGTGCTGGAGAAGGACGGCCGCTACAGCTGGAGCAGCACCCTGAGGCTCCCTGCAGACCAGTGGAGGAAGGTGGGCTCTGTGACCTGTGAGGCCACCCAGGGCTCCCAGGCTCTGGTCTCAGAGACACTGAGGAGAGACCAGTGTTCCCAGTCCTGACCTGACTCACTGGGACTCTGCTACTGGTTTTACTCTGCTCTCTGAACTCTGTAACTCTCTCTGTGTCTGTGTCTCTTTCTTTCCTTCAGTCATTCTCTAATCACATGTTTCATGGTTAAAGTTTGTTTACTGGATTTAATTTGGATTATTTCAACACAATAAAGACCAGTTCATTCAAATTTGTTGTTTTCATTTCTGTTATGGTGACTGTACTCTGTTACTCTGTCATCAGATCATATTAACAATATTCAACTTTAAGTAGTGAAGCTTCATTGATGTAATAATGCTCATGCTGTTAACACTGTAAGAAAATAAAAAAAGTTATTTCAAATTAAATAATATTTCATGATAGTTTTATTTTTTACCAACAAAGATGCATTTTCCTTCATTTTATCAGTGCAGGATTATATCTGAGGTAATTTCTTCTTCTCCTTGAGTCTCACCTTACAGAGTCTCTGTTCAGCAGAGTTTCTCTTTATAGCTGCATTAAGAGAACTTTCTAAATGCAGGTATAAACAAGGTGTGAATGAAAGAATGAAAGCGGGTGTTTTCATGAATTCATTTAAAATGTAATTTGTACAAATCTACATTACTCAATACGTTTCAAGGATTAAAAATGAAATATAAAGTACTTTCAACATGAGATGGTTCTTATCTCAGATTTTCAAACCAAAGATTTTATGTCAGTGTTGCATATACCACACAGTGACACATTGGTCTATTCTGATGGAGCATGCAGGGTGAAACAGTAAACACAAATATCAAATTTCCATCACATACTCCTCCCTTGTGAGCATTCTTTGGTCACTCAAGAATATACAGCATTACAAAAAGATCATCAGGTCATAGAAAGGCATCATGATGTAATCTACACCAGTTTAACCAAGACAACGAATCTGGGTCCTTCCTTTCATCACAGTTCTGCTGCTGCAACAATGGCATGTTCACTTGTTCATGGAGTGTGATCATTTGAATAGACACACATTTATCAATAGCTCTTACAGTCAAACCTCTGGCACATGGAATAATGCAACATCCACAGAGAGGTAACAGCGCTACAGCAATCATTAGGCCTGCTAGTATGGGCATCACTAAGGCTTTTTATTTAGCAAATACAGAATCAGACCAGTCAAACATATTAGTGTCCACTTCAGAGTTCTCTGCAAGTTCTTCTCGTAGCGAACGCATTCCTTCCAGCACTGGGGTCACCGAACCATCTGGAGCTGTATTGTTGGGCACAAACGTACAAGAGGAGTTATTAAAATTATCCAAGCATCCCAGCCTCTTTGGGTGCTTCTCTTGCCTCTAACACTGCTATGTGATGTCAATGCCTGTGTGTAGTTCACTGTGGTGTTCTGTTGTGGTGGCTTTTGTGCATCATGCTTGTGATCTAAGAACTGCAACAGAGGCACTGTTAATGCTATTGCAATGGCAGCAAACATCTGTGTTGTTCCTCGTAGGCCCACACATGTCTGGGTGTCTGACTGGGTCCCATGGATGTCTCCTTCCAGAGACAAACATGCTACTCACTCTTAAATCAGCAGTGGTGAGACCAGGAGTTTTCCCACTAGCTCCCTTGTGTTGATGTTTGCTGTCTAACAGCCTGTGAGTCCGAGACAAAGGGTGCCTAAGCGTTCCCAATCCCTCCTTCACTCACAACACAAGGTCAGGGAAAACAGTGGTTCAGTTGCTGATTGTGCACGCTTGTTGATCTGTTACTGTTCTGGTGCAGGCACCTTCCTGCAGTGGCTGGTATGTATCCATGTAGCTCTTTCAGCCTCCACAACCACCACAAAACCTCCTGGCGGGAGACTGCATCGGCTTTGTTGCTGGAGAGGGAAAAACTTCTATCCATTTTGGAAACATATCAACTATCATCAACAGTACTTTTTTTCCTTTGCTTGGGTTTAGTTAAAAACCTCCCTCATAAGGTGGTTAAACGGTTCATCTGGTGGTGGATGTGCTGCTAATGAAACCTGTAATCCCCTCCCTGTGTTGTGTCTTAGGCAGATTGAGCATGTTTGACAAAAGTTGTGAGGGTGTGTTGTGAAACCTTTCATGAACCAGTGTCTTGCTTCACCACAATATTTCATTAGTGATACAGTTACAGTTTTACAACACCAGAACTCTGTAGTTTTCTAGTAAGGCTAAACTAAAAAGGAAGAAGAAGAATTGGTTAGTGTTAGATATTAGGCTCTGGCCGCTGCTCCTGTTTAGGAGAGGGAAAACTTTCAACAATGACAACAAGACAGTAATTCTTTCACATGATGAATTTCTATGATTTTGTTACACTTTTGTTTTGTTTAAAGATTCATGATTGTCTGAAAATAAACGTCTATGCTGCCATAAACTACATCTCCCACAATGCATGTCGATTTGTGACCCGAGAAGTGACAGCATACCGCCACTAGATTGCGATGTTTCCACACCCACTACAGTGGTTTTCCGACAAGTGGAGATGAGAAATGTATACAAACAATCCCTAAATGTCCAAGACCAGAAAACTTTATGCAGAAGGAAGGCAAACTCATCAATGGTGGGAAAGTGAATACATGTTTGTGATTCAAGGAGAAAACCCGGTAGGCTAGGCCTATGTCTTTTGTGTTATGAGACAGTATCAGTGATGAAGGATCAACGTTATTTAAGGCTCGTGCAGACAACAGACAGCGTCGGCCGATGGCCGTGCCGTTCACACTGCACAACTTGCCGTCTTGTGATGGGGGTCTTGAAGTCTTTGTGGCGTTCACACTACGTGACTGATCTGTGACAGGGTGTTACTCCCCTCGAGTTTTAATAAAGGCTCAAGTCATTCCTGGGTTTTCACGGGCACATTTATTCGATGACGGGCATGTCTTTACATGTTCACTTGCATCTCCAAATTGCCGTCAGAACTGGTATATAAATAAAACACAGAAAATCGTAAATTAACCTTAAATTCTTGACATACTTGCAAACAATACTAAAACAGAATCACATAGAAACTAAGAAATAAAGTATACATTCATGCCATGTAAAATAATTGGCTTGTTACAAACACAGTCACGTAACACAAATAAATGACAAAGAAAGAGAAAATATATACCTCATTGGCCACATGAACCCGAGAGGGTAAACTTAGGTTATTAGTCTTCAATCCACGACGACAAAACTTATGGATAATCTTAACAATCTTCCATGGCTCTTGAGAAAACTGCAGCACGTTTCTCTCATCTAGATCTTAGCAAGTGTACCCATACAGCGTCCCTGTAGCAACAAATTATCATTTCCGCACGGAAAAAAAATAAGTTCCACCCTTTTTCTCACAGTTTTTAACAAAAGAAAAAATCACATGAAATTATTATTTATTGACCATGAAATATTTCAATCATATGATTTTTAACCTCATAAATATTTCTATTTTAATTGTGAACCATATTTAACAGAAATGTATGAGTTGCCTTTGATTGCAGCTACACAGGGGGTCACACACTACATGAGCTGACAGAGACTCTGTCACCTGATGCTGGTTTCCAAACCACGTTTTGTCAAGAAAATACACGAAATGGGAAATCACACAAACCTACAGACAAAACAGCTGTTGTTTGTTATTATAAAGACAGCAATTACAAAGACAAAGAATCTGGGTGAAAGAATGCATTAGGACACGCAGGTAGCAGGGATTGTCTGAGCTACAGAGAAAGCCGGAGGTGAGTAAAAAGTGTATTTATTTATTTATTTCAAGCAAAATAGTGTGACAACAGAAAAGATACACAATAATAATAACTTATACACTTATGCTTGAAATGGAGTGGGAAGAAGTAAAACTTATTAAACCCCACCCCAGTCTATCAAAGAATTTATACATACAAAAAATAGCTGCTTCCTTCATCAATAATCTCAAAGAAAAAATATTACTAATTAAAAAAAAATAATAATAATAATAACAATACCTCATTTAGAAACAGTGGATGCACAAGTCAAAACCACACATTCATACCATACATACTAATAATATACAAATATTTCCAGAGGTAACAATGCTTATCAAATACCAACAATGGTAGATGGAATACCACAAGGGTAAATAAATGACAACTAATCCAACAATCTACACAACATGAATACAATCAAACCTCATTGTCATTGTAATGTAACCAGACCTTTCGTTTGTAAAGACGTTTGAAATTGTGAATGCCTTGACATGCGGTGAAAAAGTAGCTGCCTGCTCTGCCAGCTGCCTGCTCTCATTGGCTGGATGTGGATGTCGAGTCGGCCGACTCCTCCAGATATTTGGCGTGCTAGATATCTGGCAGATGTCGGCGATATGGCAGAAATGTGTTGAGGAGGCGTTTTGATGCGTCTTTGAGTAGTTCACACCGATCAACCGCTGATTTACTCCCGATCACAGCCTGACGGTCGCCGAGCGGCAAATCGGGCTAAGAATTGTGCAGTGTGAACTAGGCTTAGGCTCCAGTAGCCTATACGTCTGCATTTTCCAGGTAATCAAACTATCTCTCATTAGTTGGATGTATCCCCTCTGCAAGGCTGTGTGCAGCTGGACTATTTGTTTTATCAAATGCCACATCTGTCCCTCATGTTATTAGCAGCTTTCTGCACCTCTGGACTGTGAAAAAGTGAAAAGATTATGTTTGATGATATTTGTCTTTGTTATTTACTTGAAATGTTGGATCTTTGATTGATGAAGTAATGAGGGTTTTTAAATCTGATAAATTCATTTACTTATGTTATAATAACACAGAGAAATTTTCTTACTAAGGCTATATTTTTACATCTGATAAATGTCCTTAACTTGAATACATAATGAAATAAAGAGACAATTGTTTAACAATATGTTAAGGATTAGTTACGTTTATGCAGTCTTACAGTTGCAACTGGCCCTTTGAGGGTGACCGTATTGCTTATGCGGCCCTCTGTGAAAATGAGTTTGACACCCCTGACCTAGTGTTATGGTTTCTGTGCAGCTGTTGATTCAGATCAGTTCCTCTCCAGCTGCGAGAGGTTTCTGTACAACGTTGTATCACTGTGTGAACGGGAAGCTGTAATCCTGCTGACAGTAATAAACTCCTGCATCTTCAGTCTGGACTCCTCTGATGGTCAAAGTGAAGTCAGTTCCAGACTGACTCCCACTGAAACGATCTGAAACTCCAGACAGACGGTTTGTAGCATGATAAATCAAGAGTTTAGGAGCTTCTCCAGGTTTCTGAAGGTACCAGTCTACCTCATTGCTAACACTTGAACTGGCTTTACATCTGAGAGAGACAGTCTGTCCTGGAACAACAGACTGAGCTCCAGGAGACTGAGTCAGGATGATTTCTCCTGATGAATCTGGAAAA